CAACACCACCAGTACATCTGTTCCCAGCGCCACCAACACCACCAGTACATCTGTTCCCAGTGCCACCAACACCACCAGTACATCTGTTCCCAGTGCCACCAACACCACCGCAGTGACGACAAACCCGACAACCGCCTCTCTGGATGTCACGACCCCGCACAACAGCTCTTCAGCAAACAACACAACCGCTACAACCGCTTCGCCCGGTAACGGCACCAACACCAATTCCTCCGCGACATCCCCCCCTTCCACAGAGAGCAACGGAACGGCCACAAACCAGTCGACCACAACTCCGAGCACGTCCACGAGTACGACCCAGAGCACAGCGGCGTCTGCGGCCGGCAGCAGTGCGGGGGTTCCTGGGTGGGGCATAGCTCTGCTGGTCCTGGCGGCTGTGGTTCTGCTGCTGCTGCTCCTGCTGCTGATCGGACTGGTGAGTGCACACATTTCACCGTCACTCCAGGAAGTCAAATCACATCTTTATAGACACCCCACAATCCATCTCAGCAAATATGGAGACCAACACACTGCCTCTGGTCCGCGGTGCATTCAGGGACTGCGCCACATTCGGTAACTGCTGCGTTGCCACTGCCAGGGTTTCAAATACCAGCATTTTATCAAAGCTGCATCTCACAGACACACCCGAAGCATCCTCCGCATCATGTTTCTGGCCTCATTAGGTCGGGGCATCGTCACAATTTGAATTCAGTCAATTCTGTCGTTCAACATTTATTTTCGTAAACTACGAATCAAGTGTTTCCTTTACAGAGGTGCACTTTGGTCCTGCAATCCCAAACACAACACAAGCCCAAAAGCTAGACTCTGTGCACCTGGACGTTTTCAGTGGGAGAAACCTTTCGTCACTCATCCAGGCGACTCCTTCCCCAATATTATAAACTGTACATTTGCACAATGACTGCTGGGAGGTCAGTTCCTTGATCATTAATATGAAAATCCTCATGACCACTGATCAATGGTCATGAGAACCACAGAGTTGGGAAATGGCGGCAATCACAACCCAACTTTTCACAAAGGGTACCCACGGTCACAACACTGCTGCCTCACAGTGGCTGCTCTAAGACGTCGGCCTGTACAAACTTTTAAGTATTGTTGAAATAATATTTTTTACACTCTAACAGGAACCGATCAGCAGTAAAGTTTGCATCTCGTCTTTTCAGACAGAATCTGGACGTTTCGTGTATCCATGACACCCGACTTATTATTTCCATTTGATCTACTGCCACTGTCACATTTACCATCATAAATGCCATTATAGTTCATTGTTAGGTGGTTGCCGGGCAAATGCCAGCATTAAAATGTCATATATCATAACATTAAAGTTAAATTAGACGTTAATGTTACGAAATTCAAATAATAAAATGTTGCTCTAATGTTTTCTATCTGAAGAATTGCTAAATAAATGTAATGTTATCCTGTTGGTCGGTGGTTGCTGGGCAACATGGTGACATTGTTGTAATTAGAGCACAAATTGAACAATCTGTGCAGTGTATCAGATCCTCGGGCCCGAGACCAAACCAGTTATTACCTTACATGCTTCTAGCAGGTCTTTGGACTTCTCCGCTTTCTTTCCGTCTAGTTTTAAATGTCCTCTTTGTCTTCAGAGTTACTGCAGTCAGCTCAGGGTTGCCTTTTTTTAACCACTAAGAAATCAACACAAATTTGCTGAGCTTTCATCCCAGTAATCAAAGCGTGTCTGAAAGGTGCGGGTGACATCTGCAGCCTGCTGCGGTCTCAGCACATTCTTCCTCCAGAGTAACGTGCTCATTATTTGAGTCCTGCATGTTCTTCAGGACTTGCTGCTTAATTCAATCATTGCTCACCCTGTAGATTTTTATCAGCACCAACTTTACATTTTAGCTTTACATCCTGATTGTTTTGCTGACTGAGAAATCTGAGGCAGCAGAAAAAAGAAAGAAAAGAAAAAAAGGCAAATGCCCCCGAGGTTTGAGCGATTATAAGAAACACCACACTTCTGACTCATGGACGAGGACTACAGGACTTTTATTCTTCGCTGCCAGAGCAATGATCAGCAGTGAAACGCGACACCGGCATTTAGCGTTTGCCCCGGAGCTGGACCAAAGTCACAGCGTTTTCCATTAGGGGATAAAATACTGACTCAGAGTTCACTGAATTCACACAAATCTGAGACTGAAACAGCCACTCCCCATAGTAGCAGCAGAAATGCTTCTTTATTACTGAGGAAAACTTCAGATTCTGTGCATTTATGTGGCAACAACAATAACAAACACTGATCGGAGCACATGATTGGCACGAGCACCCTCAGCAGACAGTCTAAGTTTCTGCCTGATGGCCATGTATATTTGCACGCAGCAAACATATGTCGTGTTTAATAAGCTTCCTCCTTTCATCATCACTGTGGATTTTAAACATTCAGACTGAGTCAGGCTAATTGTTTTGTCTCTCCAGCTGGTGTGGTGCTGCTGCTACAGGGGGCGCTCCCAAGGCTTCAGTCCCTACGACCACCTGAACAGCAGAGACGACATCCCTCTCTACACCACTCACGGGCGCTTTGAAGCCACCAATGGGAGACAATACGTAAGTCCAAACGTACAAATATTTGAAGGGTTCACGTAAAATTAATCATGTGCTCACAAAGAGGGCCACAGTAACCTCTCAGAAGTCCTCAGAGGCCACCCGCCTGTTCGCCCCTGATGCTCGTGAACACATGTCACACTGTCCTCACATTGGACATTTGTCACTGGTTCGTAGGCCAGCTCAGAAGTTAGCATCATCCTGGATCCCTGAGCAAAGACCCGACAGGCTCATGCAGAAAATAATCTGTGTACAAGTTCCTCCACGTTCAGTGACATTAAACACATGAATGAACACATTTCATCATTTTTGAAACATTAACAAACTGCATCACCATACATCGACGTCTGTCATCATGTTACGAAAGGCCCAAAATGGCCTCCGTACAAGGAAGTAGTAGCTCTAACATTGACCAGTAAGGAACCACCACACGCACACTGCAATGGGGTAGATTTATTTTTTCTTTTTCCTGGTCAAACTACTGGCTGAAGACACAACTCTGGCCAGGAATCCAAGGCCCAAAGCCACCGCGGCCAGGGTTCTTTCAGGGATCGTTTCCATTAAAATGTGCAAACTTCATCCTGGAATCTTCGAGGCTTCCCTGCTGCACCAGTGTCCTACTAAAAGACAACAACAACCCCCACTTCCTGTTTCCCCTCCCCTTCATAGAGAAGGGCTCCAGTCCTCCCCAATCAGCTGCTTCCTGTACTCAACTCCAAACAGCTGGACTGGAGTAGACTCTGCACTCCCACGTGGGTTGGCCCACACCTCACACCAAACACAAAGAAACGCCAAAGCATGCAATTAATACAAAAAAAAGTCTAAAGTAATGCCAGCCCAAAAGCTTAGTGGGGATTCTCACCATGCTGTAGTCCGTAACAATCACACCTCAGGGACACGTCGCATGTTCCAACTTTAGGTCCTGGTATCTAAAGGTCTCTAACCTGTTAACTACAGACCTTATTTAGCACACGGTGACCTGAGACAGCGGACACACATGTGACATCATCGATCGGCCCGTCCATCAGAGAGAGAAGGTGGAGTTATCGGCTCGTGCTACGCAGGCTATGTTAACCTGTAAACGTCTTCTCGAGCTGCTGGACAGATGTTAGGTTTAGGATATTACAGTTTTTCTCAAATGCTAAAACACATGTCACAAACGTTACCACCA